CATTTGGCGGACGATGCCAATTTGCCGTTAACCCCCCCCCCTCCCCCATATATATTTACAACATGCAGTCTCCTAGAGCTCGCTGCTATTTATCCCAACGTACATGTTTCCCTGTTCGGAGATGCGACTGGGAATATTGTGGTCTTTAGGCAGTAGAGCACACAGCGATTGCGTTACGGGATATACTCTTGTCGCTGCGCTTTGGGTCTTACTTGCATACCCCGCCAGTAGCCACACAGCGGCTAGCATCATAGGCGAAAGGGCATTACAGTCAAAACCCAGAGGAAGACTGGAGTCGCTATTTATGGCTTTTCATCCGTCCCCAGCCACCGATACCTAACACCGGATATTGTTTTACCCGAGGTTCGAACCCGCGACCTGTTAGTTAGAAGTCAAACATCCTAACTGTTGACCCGCGGGCTCGTTTTCTAGTTAGTCGCTTAGGCTGGTGCTGTACTTCGGGTCAGGATATCGTTTTCTACTCCACCAGTGGCTTCTTTCACCGCTGTGTAGTTGCGATGATCATACCGCAGTTTACAGCTTGTGGTCTGAAGTACTCTTCAACCGGGGTCGTCTTGTTTTGCGCTCTGTCCCTGCCTGGATTTCCACCACTGGATATCGTTATTGCTTTCATGGCCCACTCTATATACACTGTTTTTTTTAAAAATGTCGCCCGCTGCTGCCTAGCTTCCATTCGCAATAGCTTTACAACTAGCAAAAATGTGCCATTCTATTGTATGCCGTGTTAAGTCCGCGTCGTTTGCAATGTTTCAACTGCGGCTTCTCTTTAATATTACAGGGATGCTTCAGGGTCTGTCCATCTTACGGCTGATCGCCGGTTACCTTTACTGTGTCATTTAGTTCAGTTACCAGTTGTCCATGCGCACAAATGTCTGATTTGGTGTCTTACTGCATACCCACAGCTCTTCCAGCTGTGACACCAACACTGCACAATGCACAGTAGATGACGTAATTCACAAATTTTGAGAAATGATTGTTGTAATATTGATTATCGTATAGCATGATCCCAGGATTTTTTTACTCATGCCCGCATGCCAACTGTCGAATGCTCCTCTTTTCAAATCTCTGCAAAATTTGCACTCAGTAGTATTATTTTTTTTCCGTTGATTTTTGTACGCTGGATGAAGGCCAGCATCAATGAACTCATGGTGCTGACAAGGGAACTGCCCAGACGATTTCGGCCGCACTTATTTGATTTGCAGGAAATCCTAGCGTTGCTGTCACTACAAGTGTCAGCTGTTTCTCCCGAGCTTAGGTCGGTTTACTCCAAACCAGGGATGTTCCTCAGGCAGCAGTGGTCAGCCTTCTAAACTTCACCGGTTTTTCCTCCTGAGCTGCCTACCATTTTAAACCGTACAAGACTAATCGGATGGGTGGTCGGACGAATGGATCTTCGTCACGAAGAAGCTGTGTCGTCTGGGGTCCATGGATTCCAATTTATCCCGACTTATATACTCCTCTGTTCAAGGATGCATCTAAAAAGGCAAAAGTAGTTTATGTAGCGCACTTCATACACCCCCTAGTCCCAGCATTTTTTTCCTACGGAAATAGTGGTTATAGGGCTTTCGAGGGTGGGGAAGTAGGATGGGCAGTGAAGGAAATTTGTATTAGTGGAAAGATTTAGTTGAAGTTGTTTCTCGCGGCCGCTGGGACTAAGTTGTTCCGCATGTAACTTTACTAATCTAACTCCAGAACAGTAAGTTGGACCTCAGGTAAGTTGAATGAGACGACCTCCTCCTATTTAAACTACTGTTGCCCCTAGAAATGCTGTGGTCTGTGGGGCGTCCATCGACCACGTTATTGGACATACTCCTGCCGTTGCGCAGGATTAAATCAGCTCAGGGGATCAAAATAACATGACCAAATATATGCTAAAGTACGAAATCAAATTTCGTCCTCAAATTTGCATACAGGACTCGCCATACTGTATGAGCCCCCTGTCGTATCTTTTATTGGCATAAAGGTATTTGTCCTTACACGACAAATGTGCAGCTTGTGATCTTAAGACGCCAAAAACAAGAGCAACAATAGCTTGATGTCGAAGTTGTTCTGGGATAAAGACCGTTTACAATCGAAGGATGCCTCTTCTTTGACCGTAAACCTCAAAAATAGTCTGCAACATGAAAAATATTTTTATATTTTCTGTATTTTCCTTGACATTTATAATAGCGTCGATAGTCAGTGTGAAAATGCATAATGTTTTTGGGCAGTGTTTTTTGTAACGAGTGGAGATTTTGAGGGCCGTCGAGTAGAAGCACATCTTGGTGTGACTGAAATATTTTGAGATTACGCCGCACACAGCCCCATGATAACCGGCCAGGCCTTTCAGAATTTCACTTAACATTTCATGGCCTAAGCCCCTCTCCCGGTGAGCGCTCTTCTTCTGATAAGCCACCTACTGTAACCCCCAAATCGTTGGAACGCCACCCCACCCATTTCTTTCTGATGCAATTCCTAGCCAGCTGTTCCATTGCTTATCTGACCTCGCTCGCCTTATATCTCATCCCCTCCGTGCCTCACCCCCTTCCTCCAGTAAACCACGATTGGGAGACCATGATTGGCGCTATACAGGACCACATTCACTCTCTTAACTTCGGCTATCGATCGGTCCTGATGAAACAAAAGATAACCTACTTGAACGCTCTCGGCGAAATTAT